ATGAAGTTTGAATTCACGATCTTAAAGTTCAATTATTCGGACAACTGTCATTAAACCAACCACTAACCTCAAAAAAAAAAAATGGATTGGGGGAGGGTTTTTGATGTAAGTTTTTGGCATTATCATGACATGGAAGCCCTGTGAACTTATTTGACAGCACAATCCCAACAACCACCACCCTAACAATGGAATAAATGCAGCAACACTCTAATATGAGTAGTTAGATTTGTGCCTTAATTGTACTGGTTGTTTTTTCCTTCCATAATCTTCGCTCGGTAGAAAATATGGGAAGTAGGAAGAATATATTTTCTATTATTCAAGGATAAAAAGTAAGAATGATACATTTTTCTTCTTTTGTGTGTTGGTTGGATGGATGAAAAATAAAAATAACTAATTTTTTTTTTAATTTTTTTTTGTCTTGGCTAAGATTAGGAGTGACAATCGACTCGTGCCGTGTCAGATTCGTATTAAGTTATAAAATTATGAATCTTTTATATTTCTTATTCGCGTGTCAGTTCATTTTCAACTTTGTTTTATTATTTTATTTTATTTTATTTTATTTTTTATTTTAAAATTTATTTTTAGTTTTTTTAAATATATATATATATACATATTTTATCATTATATTTTTATATAAAATTAATTTATACATAATATATAGATAAATAAAATACATCTTAATACAAATAATTAACTTTTTATTCATTTTCCTTCCGATTTTTGAGGGATTGATTTTAGTGAGTTGAAAGAAAAGTTAATCCATCCACTTTTTTATTTTTTATTTTTTATTTTTTTATTAAATATAATATTTTATTTATCACCCTAACTTTTTATTTTTTACCAAACGGCACATAAAACTTGGAATAACATAATATACCTGTTGAGCTAACATTTCCTTTTGTTTTCCTATATAACCCCCCTTATCCCCTTTGGAGTTTTCATTGGTTCAAACTTCAAAGCTTCCCATTTCATCTGAAACATAAGTTTCCAAAATGAATGGTTCTTGTTCATCAGCTCCCTCTGCCCAAAGGTAGCTTGTTTGTCCTACCCAACTTGTCCTCTTCAAGTTGTCCAACCTTTTGTTTCTTCCATTAATTATACTCTCTTATTCTATCATTTTCGTGTGATGTTATTTTTTTTCAGCTGATGATTCTGTGCCGTGTGTCATGTCATTCTGTTTTTAGTTGTTTAAATTCTTTAGTTTCTCCTTACAATATTAGCTAATCTGTCATATGTGATCGTGTCATTTCTATTTGTACTGTATCGTTCTCAATAATCAGTGTCATAGTGATGTTATTTTTGAATTTTTGTCGGTACTGGTTCGTGTCGAATTCCTGTTAACAGGTATACAGATTAATATATCAGTGCATATGAATAAATTGCAGGTTAGCAGGGAAGGTGGCCATAGTCACCGGTGGTGCAAGTGGATTTGGAGAAAGTACAGTAAGACTCTTCCACAAGCATGGAGCTAAGGTTGTCATTGCCGATGTTCAAGATGACCTAGGTTTGTCTATCTTTAAAGACCTAGGCTCCCATGAAAATGTCACCTACGTCCACTGCGACGTCACTTCAGACTCTGACGTCAAAAACGCCGTCGACGCCGCCATTTCCAAGTACGGCAAGCTTGACATCATGTTCAACAACGCCGGCATATCTGGAAACTTGGATTTCACCATTGTAACTGCTGATAATGAAAACTTCAAGAGGGTTTTCGAAGTTAATGTCTATGGTGCCTTCTTGGGAGCCAAACACGCCGCTAGGGTAATGATTCCGGCGAAAAAGGGGGTTATTCTCTTCACTTCAAGCCTTGCTGCCGTGGTTTCCGGCGAGTCACCGCACTCTTACACGGCGTCGAAATACGCCGTGGTGGGGTTGACGAAGAACTTGTGTGCTGAGCTGGGTCAGTATGGGATAAGAGTGAACTGCATATCTCCATGTGCTGTGCCTACTCCGTTGTTGACGAATGCTATGGGGATTGAGAAGAGCAAGCTGGAGGAGTTGCTGTGTGCGGCTGCGAATTTGAAAGGGACGGTGCAGACGGCGGAGGATGTGGCGGAGGCGGCGCTGTATTTGGGCAGTGACGAGTCTAAGTATGTGAGCGGGATGAACCTGGTGGTGGACGGTGGTTATAGCACCACCAATCAGTCTTTCAGGGCGATGCTTAAAAATTTGACGTCTTGAACCAAATTTGTTTCTATTTTTCATCCCTAAAGTATTTTTTTTATCAATTTAATTTTCTTTTAATTAATTTTGTCAATTTAATCCTTAAACAATTTGGATTCAATTATGTGTTATTTTGATTTTTGCATAGACAAATCATTAAATTTTTAACGGAATAATCATGTATTAGACACGTAATACCGTCTAAACAAATGACACATAATCACTTCACTCAAAATTTAACGAATTATCTGATTAGGGACTAAAGTAAATACTTTAAGAATTTTTTTATTTTTGGTTCAACTGTAAAAAATGTTTGGTCAATTTTCGCTCATTTCAATTAATCTTTTTTTCGTTTGGTCAAAAAGATGTCATCTATATTGGGACTGAGCTCAAGAAGTTATTAATATTCTAACTTAAAATATCTGTGTTTATAATTAGTTCATAGTATCACTTGAGTTACTCTTAAAATTATGAATAATACTATTTGAACCTAAAAATTTGACATAATTTATTGACATAGTGATGTAGCTTCAATAGAATCATTGAATGAACAACAAGTTCTAATATTTAATAGGCTCTACAATCAATATAAAAATTATAGTGAATTAGGTCAATAAATTAGATCACAATTACGTTACTCGAACATTATTTTGATTTGTTCTGATTTCAGAATATATGTAACAAAAATTTTGGGTAAGTTTAACATACCACGTGGCATACCCATGTCAAGGCTGTGCACATTTGGGCTGCTTCTTGTCTTCTTAATTTGTAGAGTTAACGTTGGTTAACTCTGTTAAAGCCATTTGATGACGTGGTTTTTTCGGACAAAGGGCTGAAGTGGCACTTTTTCATTGGTTTTTATTATAAAATGATAAGTCATCATAATTATAAATTTTTTTATTATAAAATTACCCATAAAAAATGTTAAAACAGTCATATAAATACGGTATCAAAAATTTTTTCATACCATAGTCAAGTCCTTAAATGGGACCATGACAAATTTTGGCTGCAAAATTAATTAGTTTCAAAGTTTGCAAGATTAATAATACAACAATGATATTGAGATTTAATCTATTATAATTATTAGTTTGATTGAGGATACCATTAAATATTAAAAATTAGTATTAATTTAATAATTACAATAAAATTAAATTAATAAATTAGATTAAATTTTTAGATCTAAATAACTTTATTATGAATAATATATAGGAATTTTTTGAAGGCCAGTACTCAATATAACACTTAATTGTGTAAAAATGTTTAATAAAATAGTTTTGTACATAAGTCCCTTATTTCTGGGAGTGACAAAAATATCCACAAAATAATACTAACGATCAACTAATTTATACTACTTATAAATGTCAACATCTGTGAAAAGTTTTTGATTTCTTATTTTATCTCTAATTATTATAATAAAGTCAATTATACCCACCAATATATATACTTTAATCTAATTTTTGTTTTGTACTTCTATTTGACTTTTAACTTATTTTGGACTCTTTTATAAGGACTTCTAAATTTTTTTGAACTTATTTATTAGTAGTATAGTTATATACAATTTTCTATATCTATATAGAAGTAAATAAAAAAAAATTGATATCCTATTTTGACCATAATTATTATAATAAAGTCAATTATATCCATTAATATATGTACTTTCATCTAATTTTATATTTTTACTCTTATTTGACGTTCAACTTATTTTAGACTTTTTTTTATAACGATTTCTAAATTCTTTTGAATTCATTTATTAGTTATACAGTTACATACAATTTTATATATTTATATGAAGAATTAAAATTATATATATATATCTGAAATTATTATACAAATATAGTTATCAGATTAAATTCCATAGTCAAATATATATATTATATTTTATTTTTTGGTATGCAACAATATAATAGTATTATAAGCAATTCAATCAATCTATTTTAATTTTAAAAAAAATAAATGTCAACATCTGTGAAAAATTTTTGATTTCTTATTTTGTCCCTAATTATTATAATAAAATCAATTATACCCACCAATATATATACTTTCATCTAATTTTTGTTTTGTACTTCTATTTTACTTTTAACTTGTTTTGAACTTTTTATAAGGACTTCTAAATACTTTTGAACTCATTTATTAGTAGTATAGTTATATACAATTTTCTATATCTATATAGAAGTAAATGAAAAAAATTTTGATTTCCTATTTTGACTCTAATTATTATAATAAAGTCAATTATATCCAATAATATATATACTTTCTTCTAATTTTATATTTTTACTCTTATTTGACATTCAACTTATTTTAGACTTTTTTTATAACTATTTCTAAATTCTTTTGAATTCATTTATTAGTTATACAATTACATACAATTTTATATATTTATATGAAGAATTAAAATTATATATATTTGTGTGTGTGTGAGTGTTAAATTATTATACAAATATAGTTATCAGATTGAATTTCATAGTCAAATATATATTATATTTTATTTTTTGGTATGCAATAATATAATAGTATTATAAGCAATTCAATCAATCTATTTTAAAAAAATATAATTAGTGTCCAAATGCCTAAAAGAGTCAAGGAGATACCTACATAATTGACAGATTACGCACTCAAAGTTTTATAGAATAAATTAATAATTAAATTTAGTAACCATTAAAATATAAATTAATTATTTGACTTTTAATTTATTATTTAAATTTATTTACGTTCAACGCATGTCGTGCATTGCTAATATATCACTAAAAATGTTATAACTAATCCCTTAAAATCCAGCAAAACATAGGTAACTAATCCCATTTCGAAACAATCGGAAGTCATGCACAAAATCATTGAATTTTACAACTAATATATCACTAAAAATATAAGTTTTGAAATTTAAACAAAATTTATCACAAAAAAATGTCATAAAATCCATGAGATTTCAACCAAATCAAAAACATTAACAATCAAAAATGGCGAGGACAAAAAAAATCTTCATGTGTGACAATGAAAATGGACAAAATTTTATTTTTCACATTGTGATAAATAAATGTGCAATTACATTTCCTAATTTATACACTAGGCTAAATGTTGTTCTTGTCACACTGTGATATTAAAAAAAATGTTCAAGAGAAGATGTAGATGATCACAATGACATTAGACAGATACATGCATTGTACATGTAAACATGAGAAAAAAAAATGACAAAACCAGATTCTTAATGTTATACACTATAATTTAAAACGAAGGCTATTCGGTACATTATACTCAAATTTGAATTGAAGTAAACGATAGACGTTCCATAAGACAAAAAATATCAAACGTTGATGTAGAAAAATAAAACTAGAGGTCGAAGTACTTTCTGTTAACGAAGAACAACAAATGTTGATGTAGAAGAAAAAAATCAGAAGCTGAAGATTTACATTGACCGTTGAAATATAATAATATGAATTTACATTTAAAATTCAAATGTATATGAATTTGAATCATAATTCATATGATTTAAATTCTAAATTCAAATATGATGATCTATTAAAATAAGAAACTATTAATATAATAAAGTAAATCACATAAAAAAGGAACTCTCAATTTAAACAACCCAATAAATATGAAAAAAAAGTATTTTAGTAAAGGAAATTTTTAAAAATCTGTTAATGTATATCTAAATATAATATACTTAAAGTCAAGATGATTTATCTATAAAATATTTTAATCAAAGTATTTTCTCATAATTAAATAGTTTTAAAGGTAATTTATCATAATTATTCAAATGTGTGTAACTATTTTTTTAATGGGTGTAACTATTTTTTTAATGTGTGTAACTATTTTTTTAATGTGTGTAACAGTTTTTTAATTGATGTAACTATTTTAATTTGTGTAACTATTTTTTTAATGGATGTAACAATCACGGTCTTGCACAATTGTTAAGACATGATGATGTAACGGTACTGCAATACTAAATGATGCAACTATTATATAAATAACTGAATGACAAATTGAGTTGATTTTATAATTGTGTGTAACTGTTTGGTTTATTAGAACGCATGAATAACTGTTTAGTATATTATATGATAATTATAACTGATTGATATAACTGATTAGTGTAATTGTGTTGTTGTAATATTAATATAAATAGAGTAAAAGAAAATAGAGAGAGAGAAAAAAAAATTCTTAGGAAAAATATGCCCTTATTTTACCTCTCATTTCTTGATTGTAGCCAAAAAAAAAGGAAAGAATACAAAAGGGTTTCCATCTTTATGGCGTTTACCGATGGCAATAGTGATATTTTTAAAAAATATGCACTTTATCCTAAATAAGTTTTTGACTTGTACTTTTACCTAAATAAGTCTAAAAAATTGTACCGGTTTATAAATTCCCCTTTGAAAGGGTTTTTTAGGTGTGTGTATAAATTTTTAGACTTATTTGAGCAAAAGTGCATGAATAAGTTATTTATTCTATTAAGTACAATTTTTATAAAACTTTTTATGTTTAAGTACAAATTTCAAAATGAATTAAAATCCTTTTTACCTAAACACTATTCCTTAATTTATGTAGTCATCATTGACAATTATTTGAAGAAATAAATATATAAAGATTAACAATAATAATTGAAGGTAAAATAGGAATTCACATAGAGCGAGAGAAAGCAAAATTAGAGGTATTTCATTCTAGAAAATGAAAATGAAAGAGTATGAGTGCAAAGTATAAGTATATTTATATATATAATGACGTAGAGCTGAGTTTGAATTCAGGGATAAAGAGAGGTATAGATTGTTTTGAGACAAAACATAAACACAGTCAATGAAAAACGTAATCCCAACATAAAAGACAGTTCGGATCATCTCAACAATTTTGATCTAACGGTTTACAATGAGTACTGAATTTTGTTTTTCCATCCAACAATATTTCCTTTTTTAATTATAGGGATTTTATCTTTCCCCAAATCTCTCTTCATCATCCCTTTATTTGTCTGAGTCATGCCTCTCTCTCTCTTCCCCAATCTCACTTCTACCTCTCTCTCCTAATCTCTCACGCCT